GCTGGTTTGATTTTCAGTCTGGACCACTCGTCGCTCACATGGAGTGGCCGTGCCAGCTTCTGTTCACCACGTGCTCATTGGAGTAGTGCTGACACTGCCCTCAGAGCGCCCTCCACACTTGCAGCTGGGCCGTTGGTGTGAGCGGGCTCCGTCCGGCCTGACTCGCCTCGGCCCTGCCTCCTTCTGAGCTCAGTCCTTCAGAACCCTTCACTGAAAGGAGAGACAGTCTCTTCCTTTGTGGAGCACGTGGAGGCCAGTGGGGTTACTGGTCTTCAGTAATTAGCTCCCTGACCTAGAACAGTGATGATGATGATGAAGTTTGAAATAGAGAAGTCCAGCGTGAGGCCCGGAGGTACAGATGGGCACATGCTGGGGGACAGCCCTGAGGACGTGGGGGCAGCAGCGAGTGGGACGTGGCATAGGGGAGGCCCAGTGGGCACAGCAGGGCCTCTGGTGCCACATGCTGCTTGCCCACCGTTTCTGGTGTTACGACCAGTGCTACCAGAACACACGTATGCGGTTTTTGTTTCCTTTGGGTGTACACCGGATCTTCAAAAAGTTTGTGGAAAGATGTGTATTATGAGAAAAGTATATGTGGATTTCAAAATTTTTTGCACCAGGGCCAGCAGGTGGCATAGTGGTTAAGGCTGACTGCAGTTCAAGTCCTAGGCCTGGTGGCTTGATGATCATGCTGGGCCTGTGTGCATGTCTGCCCAGAATCCCAGGAGGAGGTGGGATTGCAGCAAGGCCATCCCCCAGAGGATGATTTCTCACTTTCCCTCTCAATGTCTGTGTCTCTCTCTGGCAAGCACAAGTGCCTTATGGCAAAAACCTTTTTAAAATTTTTTTTGTGCCAAAATGAACTAATACTTCTGTTTTTCCACAGAGTTTATGTGTGTGTGTTTGTGTGTTTAAAGAATTCTCTATTTTATGTGTTGTTATTATTTTTTAATTTGCTGTGGGGATAGGGCCAGCAGATGGCATAGCAGTTATATCAATGGACTCCCACATGGACAACTGTGGTTCGAGTCCCAGACCCAGAGGCTTAAAAATCACACCAGGTGCATATACCTGTGTGCCCATGATCCCAGGAGGAGAGGAGAACAGATTGCAGCGTGGCCATCCTTTGATTTCTCACTTTCACTCTCACTATTTCTTTCTCTCTCTTCAGCAAGTACATGTGCCCTAAGGCCAAACCTCTTTTTAAAAACATAATTTGCTGTAGGGCATGTGTACTCAACAGAGACAGAGAGAGAGAAAGCAAGCAAGCCACCAGATCTAGGATTTGAACCTCAGTTGGTCATGTGAGAATCCAAGTACCTTAACCACCATGCCACCTGGTGACCCTATTCCAGCGAGATTTAACTTTATTTATGTATTTTAATTTGACCAGAGAGAGACAGAGTGAGAGAGAAAGTGAGAAAGTAAGCCATCAGACCATCAAACTGTGGTCAGCAACGTGGGAGGCCAGCGCCCTTAACCACCACGCCACCTGCCAACCCCATCCTCCAGATACTTCTGGAGTCGCCCATAGACCTTGCAGAAGCATGCCTCTGGTGTCTTGGTGCCGTGGTGCTGTGGAAGGAGACGCAGCAGTTCGAGGCGCTCTGGTTTGTGGTCACACAGTCTGTACCTTCTCCCACTGCACCCTCTGGCCCGGAGGCTGCCCTCCCTCAGCTTTCTCACTGCACTCGGCTTGGCTCTGTGTGTGTCTTCCCTGCTTTCCTGCCAAGTGCCCGCTGCCCTGGGCCATTCCTCAGCACGGCGCTCTGGTCAGGGTCCAGCCTGCACCTGCGTGCGTGCCCTCGGCACTCCAGTGTGGGCAGCCCACAGCGGGCCCTCAGTGCAGGGGCAGCTGCTTCAGCTTCAGCAGGTGCAGGGCACGGCGTGTCCTCCACAGCATCTCCATGGCAAGGCAGGTCTCCTTGTGGGGGGCGTCCTGGAAGCCTGCTGGCAGGACTGAGGGGGAAGAGCCCCCGGGCCCCCTCCCAGGCTCCCTCCCCTCGGTGGCTTTCAGCCCAGTGTCTCGCTGCTCCAAGCCAGGCCTGGTGCCAGGCCCCTCCCCAGCGCTCCCCACTCCTGCACAGATGGGGAGCCTCACAGCTCCATAGACACTCCCTCCTCACAGCCCTCACAGCCTGGCTGTGGGCAGTGTGGCCACGGGTTGTATCTGCAACTTTTTTCTGGGAAAGTCGAGTTCAGGGAGAAGTTTCTTTCTTTTTCTTTTTGCTGTAAGGGTACACGCGCTTCCAGAAAGAGAGACAGAGGTAGAGAATGAGGAATCACCTTCCCAGGGCATGGCCACGTCAACAGTCCCTTGTCCTCCAGTCTCTCAGGTCTGGGACTCAAACCATGCAGCAGCCACGTGGGATCCAGCTGCCTTAACATCGCACCACCTGGCCGGCCCTCATGATCTCTCCATGTACGCATGTGTTTTTGGTGGAGGGTATGTGTGTTCCGCAGAGAGCCAGAGAGCTCCCCCTGTGAAGTGTGGTCTCCCCCAGTCCTCCATTTCTTCATCCCACCAGGACCCTGGGCACACGCTCACGTGACCGGCAGGTTTTCAGGCTGGTGGCCGTCATTCAGCTGTGGTCAGTCAGCCACATGGGTTCAGCTCCACCCCACGGCGTGTCGCGGTGCCCCAGGCCGAGCCATCTGTTCTCACTCTGTTCTGTTTTACCCCTAAGAGATGGAGAGGATGCTGACTGCCTGCTCAGAGACCCCTGGATCCCCACAGGGACTTGTCCGGGAAGAGAGAGCAAGACCTGGACCCTCTGCCCCTGTCTCTGTCCCCATTTCTGCTTCTCTCATCCCTGTCTGTCTCTGCCTGTGTCTCTGTCATTCACTGTCCCTGTCTGTGTCTCATGTCCCTCTGAGGAGCAGGTGTAATGAGGACAAGGCCCCTCCTTTTGGTCTCCCCAGTGGGCAGGTCGCGGGGGAGAGGGGCTGCACTGGGTCTGGCCAGGGCCGTGTCCACAGTGGGTGGTCCTGGCAGAAGGTGCTCGATGTCAGGTGGGCTGTCTGGCTCACTGCAGTGTCTGTTCATGAGGTGGGCCTAAGAGGCCCAGGAGGGCCCTGGCAGAGGAGCGCTGTGGTCCAGGATCTCCCACTCCCGGCACCCTGCAGTCTCACGCCTCCGCCTGGGGGCGGCCTGGCCTGTCCGGCTCGGGCAGTGGCAGCTGCTTCAGCTTCAGCAGGTGCAGGGCACGGCGTGTCCTCCACAGCATCTCCATGGCAAGGCAGGTCTCCTTGTGGGGGGCGTCCTGGAAGCCTGCTGGCAGGACTGAGGGGGAAGAGCCCCCGGGCCCCCTCCCAGGCTCCCTCCCCTCGGTGGCTTTCAGCCCAGTGTCTCGCTGCTCCAAGCCAGGCCTGGTGCCAGGCCCCTCCCCAGCGCTCCCCACTCCTGCACAGATGGGGAGCCTCACAGCTCCATAGACACTCCCTCCTCACAGCCCTCACAGCCTGGCTGTGGGCAGTGTGGCCACGGGTTGTATCTGCAACTTTTTTCTGGGAAAGTCGAGTTCAGGGAGAAGTTTCTTTCTTTTTCTTTTTGCTGTAAGGGTACACGCGCTTCCAGAAAGAGAGACAGAGGTAGAGAATGAGGAATCACCTTCCCAGGGCATGGCCACGTCAACAGTCCCTTGTCCTCCAGTCTCTCAGGTCTGGGACTCAAACCATGCAGCAGCCACGTGGGATCCAGCTGCCTTAACATCGCACCACCTGGCCGGCCCTCATGATCTCTCCATGTACGCATGTGTTTTTGGTGGAGGGTATGTGTGTTCCGCAGAGAGCCAGAGAGCTCCCCCTGTGAAGTGTGGTCTCCCCCAGTCCTCCATTTCTTCATCCCACCAGGACCCTGGGCACACGCTCACGTGACCGGCAGGTTTTCAGGCTGGTGGCCGTCATTCAGCTGTGGTCAGTCAGCCACATGGGTTCAGCTCCACCCCACGGCGTGTCGCGGTGCCCCAGGCCGAGCCATCTGTTCTCACTCTGTTCTGTTTTACCCCTAAGAGATGGAGAGGATGCTGACTGCCTGCTCAGAGACCCCTGGATCCCCACAGGGACTTGTCCGGGAAGAGAGAGCAAGACCTGGACCCTCTGCCCCTGTCTCTGTCCCCATTTCTGCTTCTCTCATCCCTGTCTGTCTCTGCCTGTGTCTCTGTCATTCACTGTCCCTGTCTGTGTCTCATGTCCCTCTGAGGAGCAGGTGTAATGAGGACAAGGCCCCTCCTTTTGGTCTCCCCAGTGGGCAGGTCGCGGGGGAGAGGGGCTGCACTGGGTCTGGCCAGGGCCGTGTCCACAGTGGGTGGTCCTGGCAGAAGGTGCTCGATGTCAGGTGGGCTGTCTGGCTCACTGCAGTGTCTGTTCATGAGGTGGGCCTAAGAGGCCCAGGAGGGCCCTGGCAGAGGAGCGCTGTGGTCCAGGATCTCCCACTCCCGGCACCCTGCAGTCTCACGCCTCCGCCTGGGGGCGGCCTGGCCTGTCCGGCTCGGGCCCCTCCCTCTTAAGAAGCACAAGTGACTGGAGAAGCTGTGAGGTGCGGTGGCAGCAGACGGGACAGCGGGCTGCTTCGAAGGGGTGTTGGCCTTTGGAGAGGAGCACCTGCAGGAACTGGGGCTGACAGCCAGGACGGAGCAGGGCAGTGGGGTATTCCCTGACCCCTAGGCCCAGCGCTGGGTTCTTTGGGAAGGTCTGTCCCAGGGCAGCCCTGGCCGTGCTCACGCCTTCCTGCACGGCAACCTGGGCCCTTGGCTCTGTCACCAGATGCCCAGTTAGGCACTCTAGTTCGTGGGGGGCCTCTGGCTTGTTCTCACCCCCAGGCCCGTCGTGGCTATTCCTTGAAGGAGCTGCGAGGCAGTTGGAGATGGGGACAATGCCATCTACTGGTGGCTCAGCCTGAGCCACCACCATCTGCCGGTGGCTCGATGGGGCCCTACCACTGGCGTCTCCGTGGGGTTCCAACTGTGGGCAAGTGCTGACTCTCGCCCTCTCTTCCTCAGAGCCCCCCACGATGAACCCCGTGGTGGAGCCGTTATCCTGGATGCTGGGCACCTGGCTGTCCGACCCGCCGGGGGCTGGGACCTTCCCGACGCGTCAGCCCTTCCAGTACCTGGAGGAGGTCCACATCTCCCATGTGGGCCAGCCCATGCTGAACTTCTCGTAAGTCCCCGCCTGCCCCTCAGGCTGCCAGAGGAGCTGTGCTGTCCCAGCAGGTAGCCCCTGCCTCCCCAGGGACCACTGAGACACCGCCAGTGGCAGAGGCCCTCCCTGGAGGTGCTGTCTTGAAGATGTTGTAGTCACGTCCACACACACAGGTGGCAGGGGCTCCATCGAGCCCCTGCCACCTGCCGGGCCCTGCTCCTACTGCGATAAGTCACCTGGGTTGCTGGGAGGGGAGGGTGGGGCTCCTGGCTCCGCCCTGAGCTGTCAGGCCTGCAGGGTGCTTCCATTCAGCGCCTGGTGAGTGGGTCCTTAGGTCCTTGCTGTCACTCAGCAGGGACAGTGGTGTGGCCTTGCAGGCAGCACAGCACCCAAGGGCTCTGAACCACAGGGCTGCCAGGGCCTGGCCGTCAGGACAGCTCCGCTCTTTGTTATGGGAGTGGCGCACACCTTTTTTTTTTTTTATTTGAGAGACTTGCCATCGGGCACGTGCGCTCATCAGCGATAGAGAGTGAGAGATCACCTCCCAGGAGGATGGCCAGGCCACAGTCCATTCTCCTCTCAGGATTTTGGGCACGCACACACACATGTCCAGTGTATTTCATGATGCCGGGTCCAGGACTCAAATCACGGTTGACCCTGTGGGAGTCCAGCTCCTTAATCGCTACGCCACCTGCTGGTCCCAGTAATATATATTTTTCAAGTTTAAACAAAGAATATAAAACAAACACCACAACTCTGCTTCTTCCCAAGTCTCCATGGCACAGTTTCGAGTCTGGCAAGCCAGCTGGGCATGGCCACTGTGCACCCCCAGGCCAAGGAGGCAGATGCCATGTTGGGCTCACCACCTCACAGATTCTCGTGGCTCACCCTGCGGTCCTTGAGTGGTAGCTGAGGGCGGTGGGGCCTGCACAGAGACCCAGGGGCAGAGCGCAGAACAACGGTGCGGCCAGGATGGTGGGAGGCAGGCTCCTTCACAGTGGGGCTGGGGCCCAGCAGAAGGCAGAGCCTGGGGGGGAAGTGATGCGGCACCAAATAGAAAGCCCATCTGGTAAATCCTGTGGGCGGCGTGTGTCCCGAGCCATGGCGTGACACGGAGCGCTCGGGCTCACATTGGCGTCTCCGTCCTAGATGTGCAGCCAGAGCGGCAGGCGCTCTACCTCTGCTGCCGTGGGCTGCATCCCACAGGAGGGTGGAGGGGCTCCGTGCTCGGTGCATCCGTGGCGCTGACAGCTGCTGAGGTGCAGGGGGCAGGGCCCCGGGAAGGGAAGCTCCCTGCAGTCGCTGAGAGCAGGCCTGTCTTCGAGAGTTGGCCGGTGGTAGACCCGGCCTCACGCCCCCTGTGCCATCCAGGTTCAACTCCTTCCACCCAGACACGCACAAGCCGATGCACAGGGAGTGCGGCTTCATCCGCCTCAAGCCGGACACCAACAAGGTGGCCTTCGTCAGTGCCCAGAATACAGGTACGTGGTGCTCTGGCACCAGGGCTGGTGGCCAGGCTGTGGAGGGGCTGCAGACAGCACCGGGGGCGAGGGCCGAGCCGCTCCTGGGTGCAGGAGAGGGCAGGCGGCAGTGGGCTGCCGGGGCTTGTGCAGGCCAGCTCCTCCGCCTGGACGCTGAACTGAATGGCATGTCCTGGACTTTGAGGGCCTGCCCGGCCCACATGGAGCAGGAGGTCAGGACTGGCCCACCCTCCCAAAGCCTGCACCTTGCACTGGGGGCGGGACTCCCATGGCCCTCCTGGGCGGGACAGGGATAGAGATAAGAGGACTGGGGTCCAGGCCCCCTCTGTGGAGCTCCTACCCTGCATGCAGAGGGTTGCCCGTCTTCCCTGTGTGGGAAGCTAGGGAGAGGCAGGCAGGATGTCCCTGGCACCCGAGTTCCCACTCCTGCACCCAGCTGGGCAGAGTAGTGGAGCTTTGTGCTTATGGCTGCTGGCCCAAAACTCGCCACCCCCTCGCAGGCATCGTGGAAGTGGAGGAGGGCGAGGTGAACGGGCAGGAGCTGTGCATCGCGTCCCACTCCATCGCCAGGATCTCCTTCGCCAAGGAGCCTCACGTGGAGCAGGTGAGCCGCCCCCCTCACCCTGGGTGTGGTGGTGAGGGCCCCCTCAGGTTCCTGGTTGCCACGGACGATTGCTTCCTTTTCAAGTTTGCCATAGGGTGCTTGCTCGTGAGAGAGCGAGCACACATACACACTCAGGAGGGTGGCCACTCCACGTCCCTTCCCTCCTCCAGGGTCTGGGGCACATGCGCACACACACCTTGCGGAGTTTATCTCAAGCCACTGATCCAGGATCCATCGCCCTAACCACCACGCCACTGTGTGGCTACAGTGCTGTGGAACAGCGCTCCTGCCTACACTGCTGAGGCCCGGCCCAGTGACACACAATGACTATGCTCGTGTGCTGGCTAACAGGCTGAGGTTCAGGTCCTAGGTGGGCCCGAAACACACTGGGCTTGTGCACACGTGCTCACGACCCAGCCTGGCAGGAAGGTGGGGTCGGGCCCCTACACTGTCTCCCAGCTGATGGCTGCGGGGAACTTCTGGTCTCTGGTCACTCCCACAGAGATGCCCACCAGGGTGGAGCCAAGCAGCGCCCTGATGGCAGCTCATGCCTGAGCGGGTGGCTCTGCTGCTGTGCCAACACGCCTTATAGGACCCGTGTCGTGGGTGCATGCTGCTAGGTCAGAGGGTCCCACTCCCTGTGTGCTGCAGGTCACACTGAGAACAGCTTGTGAGGGTCCCCATACATGCACAGGAGAGACCCTGCCGTGACTGTACAGAGGTTCCTGGAATTTCTTTGAGGCCGCGTACACAGTCATGCTCATGGCCTCTGGGTGAGCACCGGGGCTCAGCGTGCCTGAGGTCCAGCCCTGGCCCTCTGAGGCCACACTTCCTCACCGCCTTGCTCAGGCCTTGACCCTGTTTTCCCTCCATGGGTGCCACCGAGAGCTCTGCTGCGCCCGTAGCCACCATCTGCGTTCCGAGCTCCCTGTTTGCTCACAGCCCGCCTGGACACTGCTTCTGAGCCTGTCTCTCGATTGGCTGGCCCTCACCCCCAGACCCAGCCCTGCTCTCCCTGGGAGTCTGCCTCCCACCCCACCTGCATGCTCTGGGCCACGGCCAGGCCTCGGACGCTGCCACGGCTGTTCCTGCCCCGCATCCCTCGGAGTCAGTAACAGTCTATTTGTGGTTGGCTTAGTTTTGGCACGCTCATCCTTGATCAGCACCCCTCCTCACCTGTTAACCTGAAACCCTTCTCAGCTCACCCATACGGAACACCTGCGCTTCATCCTGCGGGCTTGTCCCAGGACTTCAGGCCAGTCTGCCAAGGCCATCTGCCCGGTGCTGCTGAGGGCTGCAGTCCCGGCCATCCCGGCCTCCCTCCCCACTGTCCATCCATCCAGGCCCACCCTGCTTCCCCGCCGTCCGTCCATCCAGGCCCACCCTGCCTCCCCGCCATCAAGCCTCCTCCCCGATGGCCAGGCCCCCGCTCCCAGGAGATGCTGGGTCTGCCGACTCCCGTGTTCCCCAATCTTATTTTCCTTTCTCCTCTCATCTCCCTCCCTCCCTCCCAGCAGTCATGCTGTGTCTCTCACGTTGCTACTAAACGTGCCTCCCTGGCCCTCCGCCCTTGCCACCCCCTTTCCTCACCCTGTTCTGTGCTGGTGGACGGCGCAGCCCTCACACCTCCGAGGTGGTAATGCTGTCTGTTCTCTTCTTTCTCCATGCCCCTGTCAAGTTGGTTTTATATTTGTCTTTTTTTTTTTTTTTTTTTAAGTTTTTTTTGGT